CCACTTGTATGTCCCCTCTGTCCAACAACCTAAGTATATCATCACAGGCCTGTTTTTCTTGCAGGAGGTCTGGGAATGTGGGTGGTACAAGCTCATTATCCCAGGCTGGTCTCGTCATTGCTGGGGGGTTGCCAGCAACAGGCCTAAATGCTTCTGCCGTGGAATTTAGAGCTGAAGATTTGGAGCTTCTTAATAAAGGCAAATTCTGGGACGGGGATACGTTTTTGGAAAAGATTCAGTTGTGTTAGGGGCAGCCTCTTCAATGGATTCTCTTCCAACTTCATCTCCTACCCTCCCTCTGGCCCATGTATAAAGTAGCCGCCTCCTGCTAAATCCTAATTAATTCCACAATTCATCCTCTCCCTTCTGTTCAGCCGTTAGTGCAGGGGTGGGCAAATCTTTTGGCCCAAGGGCCACATCTGGGTGGAGAAATTGCATGCAGGGCCACAAATGTAGGGCTTGGGTAGAGGGTTGGGCTGCAGGAGGGAGTGTGGGGAGCAGGAAGGGTCTCAGGGCAACGGGTTGGGGTGCAGGAGGGGTACGAGATGTAGGAGGAGGCTAGGGGGGTGCGATGAGGGGTGAGGCAAGGGGCTCAGGGCAGGGGTTGGAGACTCAGGGCAGGGCGTTGGGGTGCAGGAGGGTGCAGAGTGTGGGGGGGGCTCAAGGCAGGGGATTGGGGTGCAAGAGGTGTACGGAGTGTAGGAGGGGGCTCGAGGGTGGGTGAAGGAGGGGTGTGGCAGGGGCTCAGGGCAGGGGGTTTGGGTGCAAGAGGGGTGCAGGGTGCAGCTCAGGGCAGGGGGTTGAAGTGCAGGTCTGGTGCGGCAGGGGCTCAGGGCAAGGGGTTGGGGTGCAGGAGGGGGTATGGAGTGTGGGATGGGTTCGGAGTGCAGGCTCTGGCCCAGCGCCGCTTACCTTGAGCAGCTCTGGGATGGCAGCGGCATGCAGTGGGGCTAAGGCAGACTCCCTGCCTGCCCTGGCCCCACACCACTCCCGGAAGTACCCAGCATGTCCGGCAGTGGCTCCTGGGGGTGGGCTGGGGTGGGTTGGGTTGGGGCAGGCAGCTCAGCTGCGCGCTGCCCTCGCCTGTGGGTACCACCCCGAAGCTCCCTTTGGCCGCGATTCCCCATTCCCGGCCAATGGGAGCTGTGTGTGTGTGTATGTGTGTGGGGGAGACGGTGCCTGCAGGCGAGGGCAGTGCATGGAGCCCTCTGCTCCTCCACCCCCAGGGGCCACAGGGACCTGGTACCAGCTGCTTCCAGGAGTGGCTTGGGGCCAGGCCAGGTGGGGAGTCTGCCTTAGCTTTGCTGCGCCACAGGGCTGGCAATCCCGCGGATGGAAATACTTTCATTGATTTCAGTGTGCTTTGGCTCTTCCCCACTGAGAAGTAAATAAGGACTGGAGGGTACCGCTAACCAGAGAGCAGGATTTGTAACTGTAAAATGTCCTTGTGCTTGTTTCTAAACACTGGCTAGAAAAGAATCGATCAGATATTTCATACTGTTGAAAATGGAAAGTGGTAAGTTCCCTCCATAATGACATTAATATCAGTTAGGGTATTTTTAGCCTATAATTGTTTGAACAGAATGAAATGGGAAAATGAAAATCAATTATGAGCTTGTTCTGCACAATGTTAGTGGGGAAAATACATCATACAACTTAAGTACCTTTTAAGACAGATTTTAAAAGATCACTAAAACAAATGAACTTTTCAAGAGCATAAATCAGCCAAGTATTATTGGATGGTGCAATTATGCTCTGCAAGGCTTGCATCAGGGTAAGTCTTCAGAAGATCAATACTTTCTTCCATGCTCTGTCCTCTACATTGCTAAAAACCCATCAAAATTGCAGCTTAATCAGTCCTTCCACACAGATAAAGGTCAGAGAGCTGAGGGGGACAGGGAAGGAGGAGGGCGGCTTACAAAGGTTACTGACAAGTTTGGCCTGGTTTTCAGAGGTTCCAAACCCCGTGTGCTACAGCTCACATTGCAGGTGCTTGGTCACTTCGAAAATCAGGTCACTTATATGAGCCCAAGTGTTTCTAGTGGGGCAGAAGAACTGTTAGTTTGGGGATCTGATTTGGATTTTAAGTTGGACCTTTTGTTACCCCAGAAGGAGTGTGAGCTGTTATGTGACTTGGCTGGAGGGCTGACCCACAGAAAGCCCCGTGAGAGAGTCAGGAGAAGACACTGCCTGGGACTGGCCATCATGGCTGAGGAAGTAGTCACTGGGCTGGGTTGTATGAGAGATGAAGTCTCCTGTAAGGCTGTGTCCATGTACAAGGGGTGCCCTAGAGATAAGGACACTTTTCAACTGGTGTATTAACAGGAGTGCCATATGTAAGACCTGGGAGGTAACTGTCCCATTCTACTCAGCACTGGTGAGACCTAAGACCTAAGTACAACTCCCAGTTTTGGGTGCCACACTCAGACAAAGAGTCCTGTGGCACCTTATAGACTAAAAGACGTATTGGAGCATAAGCTTTCATGGGAGAATACCCACTTCATCAGACGCATGTAGATGAGATGTAGACGAACTGGAGAGAGTCCAGAGTAGAGCAACAAAAATGAGAAAAGGTTTAGAAAACCTAACCTATCAGGGAAAGGTGTGTGTGGTTTTTTTTTTTTTTAAGGTATGTTTAGCCTTGAGAAAAGGAGACTTGAGGAGGAACCTGATAAGCTCTCAAATATTTTGACAGCTGTTATAAAGGAGGACTGTTATCAGTTGTTCTCCATGTCCATTGGAGGTAGGACAAGAAGTAAAGGGCTTAATCTGAAGCAAGGGAGATTTAGGGTAAATATTAGGAAAAACTTTCAAACTAGGGTACTAAGTACTGGAAAAAGCTTCCAAGGGAGGCTGTGGAATCCCCATCATTGGAAGTTTTAAAAACTAGGTTACACTATTACCTGTCAGGGATGGTTTAGGTTTACTTGGTCCCACCTCAGCATGGGGGGCTGGACTAGATACCCTCTGGAGGTCCTTTCCAGGCCTATGTTTCTCTGACTGAGAACACTGAAATATTATCATTGTTAAGGCATTTGGCTTTATAGATAGTTATTCTAACTTTTTTTCTACTGCACAGTGGATGGTTTTGCAGTTAAGGAATTGGGACTTGGGAGATCTGGGCTGAATTCCTGGCTCTGCCACAGACTCCTTGTGTGACCTTAGGCAAGTCACTTCATCTCCCTGAGCCTCAGTTCCCTATCTAATGGTTGGGGAAAATAATACTACTTCTGTCTCTTACATTTAGTCTGTACACTCTTCAGGACAGGGGCCATCTCTATGCGCTTATGCAGTGTCTAGCACAATGGGGACCGTAGATACTACTGCTGCATAACAATAATGATTATAACACTCCCCACAGATGCACAAGATTTCCAAAGCAGAACTACCGTGTTTCACTGTCTAGGGAGGGAAGGCTGTGGAAAAGCTGCATAACGGGCTTCCATAACTCTATTACAATGGTCACACACCTAGGGCTGGTTGAAAATTTTCCATCTAAGCTGTCTTGGATGGAAAATTGGGTTTTTGATTAAATGAAACTGTTCATGAAAAGTTTCTGCTTTTTGAAGAAAGATTAAGTCAAGCTAAAATGTTTCGATTCTTAAATTCCACTGTGATGCTTCATGGGAGTTGTAGTTTCAGTGCCTCATTCCCATTCACCTCTGTAAGTCGGATTCTTCTGCAGGACTACATCTCCCATGAGGCACCAGTGCAGCATTTCAGAAACAAAATATTCTGGTTTTTCAGCCAAAATATTTTGGATTTCTACTTTTTTGCTGAAAGCATAAAAATTTCCATGGAAACCTGAAAACCTTTGTGTGTGTGTCAATTTTCTGCAGAATGAATACCTCCATTTCACAACGACCGCTAGCCACAACACAGATCGATCGGCCCTAAGAACTCTTTCTGTTGAATACAGTTCTACATCTAAAAGCAAGTTCCTAGCATAGAACACTTTGATCCCTTTTCTTTTTTTCATATCAAAGGCAGGTTAGAATCTGCCTACATGCTGAACTGCTCTATGGGCATCCAGCACAAGTCATAGAAGGAGGGATGAAAGACTTCCACAGATGTATGTTGTGTAGGAAGAGCTGGTTTTCCCTCCCATGGTCCATAAAATCCACCCCCACAGTTAGCAGAAGCTGACCCCATTGTTTGTCACCCTCATCATAAAGACCAGTGACTGATGGGATGTAGAAACTGAACTACCCCTTCACCATTAAAGCCATTAATGCAGGGTTGAGGTGCACAGGGAGGTGAGGTGGGAAAACGGTCTCTGTCCAAGATTTATCAGTTCTAAGGGTAAAATGAGGACCTAAATTCCAGTGCTGACAATTGAATGATGCATTCATTTGAAATACCTTCACATTCAGGCTGGCATCTAGTGCTTTGGCTGCTTTAAGAGTATTCCATTGTACACAGGAACATGTCAAAATCTTCTAAGCCATATGATATAACTAGGCTCACAACATGTCAAAGACTTAGAACTAGAGCTGGTCAGGATATTTTTGAATAAAATGTTTTTGTCAGAAAACAGACTTGTCAACACTGAAACTTTTTGCAGAAATGTATCCATTTTGATTAAAACTTCATTTATAAGGTTTCTCAGGTCTGGGGAGAGAGACCCACCCAGAAAGCTATTAGTCCAGTGGTTAGGGGACTCACCTTGAGTGTGGGGGAGAGGTGTTATTTTAATGTGGAATGAAACAAATCTTTGTTTTCTGGCCAGTCCTACTTAGAACAGTCATAGGAATTCTAGTGGTAGCAGTCTGCAGGGTGGATCTATGAACCGACTTCAGAAATCATATTGGCAATACGTTTTAGTCCCTGATACTATAAGGGCGGAAATTCCAAGACATTTCCTTGGGGACAGGAAGCCCAAGGAGTTAGGTGGGACAGCTGTTTTATGAATACTTTAGGTACCCAAAGTAACACTGCAGGAGATGTGCAGAGCTGGTCAAACCTTTATTACTAATTATATTTCTTCTGATTTTTCCAAGGTGCTGAGCTCTTTGAAAACCAGATGCTAAGCTAAAGCTGCAAGTAATCTACCAGGAGCAGAGCTGTCTGCTGGAATACATTACATACAATGCATAGACCTTAAAAATAAAGTCATGCAAATTTGGTGTCTCGTGCCAGGTTCCCCGCCTTGCAGCACTAAGTCAACAATTTCTTATTCTCAGCCCCCTCCATGTCACTGTATTCACAGTGGGGTAACTGGAGGCAGACCTGCTCTTTGCTGTGAGACTGGACTTAGGACCCACCTTGGGAAGAACTCTCCAGAACAGGGGCGGCTCCAGGCACCAGCGCAGCAAGCGCGTGCCTGGGGCGGCAAGCCACGGGGGACGGCTTGCCGGTCGCTGTGAGGGCGGCAGGCAGGCATCTTTCGGCAGCATGCCTGCAGGAGGTCTGCCGGTCCCGCGGATTTGGCAGCAATTCAGCAGCGGGGACGCCGATGGCGCGGCACCGGCAGACCTCCCGCAGGCATGCCACCGAATCCGCGTGAACAGCGGACCGCCCGCAGGCATGCCACCGAAAGCCGCCTGCCTGCCGTGCTTGGGGCGGCAAAAAACATAGAGCTCCAGAAGAATTCTCTCCCCTTGCAGAGGAGTTCCCCAGCATTTTTAACTATCTGTTTTTAATTTGGCGTCAAGATTTGTCCTCAAAAATTGCTAAATTAAATACAAACTTTTTTTTTTTTGCCTGTGAGTAGCCTTTGCTCCCCCCACCCTCTCTGAAATGGCAGACAAACAGCAGGCTGCAGGGAACCCGGCTACCACCAAGCGTATGGGCAAGGCTCACATTGAAGCAGTTGACCAGGACACATCAGAACCAGCTCCCAACCTCTGTGTGGGTGAGGCCCATACCAAGATGACTGAGCAAGCCACAGAAACCCAGCTCCCAGCCGACACATAGGTGAGATCCATACTGAGGCAGTTACCGGGCCATGTTGGAAGCTCCCTTCACTGAGACCAGAACAGAATCAGTGACATGAAGCTGAGGGGTAAGATTTTTCTCATAGCCCCTCTGTTTCCCCCTGGCCTGGGACCCCTATTCTTACAGTTTGCAGAGCAGGCAGGAAAGCTTCACAGGAGCTTTCTGAACCTCATGGATAGGCAGTTCCCCCTGTAACAACCAGGAGGGGAGCTATTCCTGCTGCCAGCCGGCATGCTCTGTGCACTGCTGAGATGGTGAAGGCTGCAAAGCAAGGCCCTTCCCACAAGCGGTCTGTCTTGCAAGATCTCAGCTGCCATGAAAGGTGCCAGCTCCTGCACCTGATACCACTCCTGGCTCACTCCTCATTCCGTACAGCTGGTCCCCACTTAGCTCCAACCCAGCAGCAGAAGGTGTGGGGGGAAGTGATTCAGACCCCTTCCCGTCCTACTATCCCCCGCCCGCCTCCACAAGTCCCACAAGCATTCACAAAGGGGCTCCCATTGCCTCAGGCAGGTAGGCAGGATGACTACCTGCAGACGGTCCCTTCTGTTGCCCCGGTAACGCTAAACGCGCTCTCCCCTGGCCATTTCTCTGAGTGGTTTGGTCCAGGGATGGGTGAAGGATTGCTCACAATCAGCTCTTCAAGGGGCAGCAGCAAGTCTTAAAACTTCTCATAAGAGTCTCCCATCTGGATCCTCTGAAGAGGAGAAATCTCGAAAGCTGGGACTTTGAGTGTGACCTCTCAACTAAGCTTCCCAGAATTAAGCATCAGTGGAGGGGTAACTTCATAGGGGTTTTGGTTTCCAATCCTTCCCCTGCCCCCGCCAAGTATAGTAATACAATAAAAATTGCAAAGTTGAAGAACTGTGTATTTTCTTCTTACCTGGCTTATGAGGGTGTGACTAAGATGGAGTGGGAATTCCCTATCAAGACCTACTTGTACCAAAGGACTTTATTACTCTGCCTAAAGTTAAACTGGCTGTGGCCTCTTAAATAAAGGGCATAGGTATTCCTGCCAAACACACAGGAGACTAGTGGGGCTTTCTATTCTTTATCAAGTCAAGTGCCTTGCTCTAACCATTAGATATACAGTCATCTTCACTGATGCAGTTCTTCCTTTGCATTGTGGCTGTATTTGTCCCATCCCAGGACTGGGCTCCTTTTTAAGAAAGCGTTTTTGCTTTGGCAATCTCCTTTTTTTAGCTGCTCTACACTTTTCTTTTCCAATTTCTTCCTGGGCTCTGCAGTGGAAAGCAGTCATCAGTGAGTGGCAACTCATTTATTCCTCTAGGCAGCTTTGTGTGTAACTAACCAAAAGTCCATGTCAAAAGGCTTCAGAAACTTTTGCAATTAGCAGTTAGTAGTTGTTTAGCAATTGGCTATCACTGTTTATTAAGCTGCTCATACATTTAGCTCACTTAATTAGTCACAACCAATTGCCAATAGGTTGCTGTTCTCCTCTGTGCGGCTTGTCAGGGAGACAAGCAGATTCTCCCCTACACAGTTTAAAAGTCTCATTTGCATCGTTGTGGTTGACTGATTAATCGCTGCATAGTAGCAGACCCAGACGCAGAGCCTGATCTGGTTTTTACTGAAGTCAATGGCAAAATGCCCACTGATTGCAGTGGTCGCTGGGCTAGACTTCACGGAGAGAACAGGATCTCTATAACTTGCTTCAGAGGGGACTGCGCAGTATGACTCAGCTAGGCACTTAACACCACTGGTGTGAGATGCCTTTTTTTCTCCTTGAACAACATAGATATATTAACGGTTAAAAGCAACTTCTCTCCCCGGCATTTAAACCAAATGTTGCTGTAGGATATCGAATTAAAAATGATCGCTCTATAACAGGGACCCTATTTTCCCTGTGTGGGTGAAAGGGAGGAGAGCCAATCTGATCAGGGGAGAAAGAAATGGCAAATGGGGACTGACACCTACCTCCATGGCAATACTCTCCTTCGCTGGCCTAAGGGGGGAGAGAGGGAGGCTGCTGCCTAGGACTTCATTTCACCAGCCCCTCCATAGACTAATAGATTTTAACGCCAGAAGGGACTATTGTGAGCATCTAGTCTGATGTTTTGCGTAATCCAGGCCATAAGACTTTCCAGAATTAACAACTGCTTCAAGTCTGATAGCTGTGGTTGAACTAGACTCAACATGCAGGACATTGGGGGGTACCCAGGATTCCTAACTCCTAGCTGCTCGCTCTAACTACTGAATAACACTTCTTCCATCACCTGCATTAATGGCTTCTTTGTGATTCATGTGCTACTGGCTTGTTTTTTCTAATTGATTTATTTAGAGTTTAAACCCGTAAAGGTATTTCCTCTTGCTAGCAAATTATTGCTTAGTTATGTAAAATATCATCATCATCTGGAGGCCTCTTCCAGTGAATGTTGCATTATAATTAATACTAAATAGAATTGATAAAATACAGATCAATTTTTAATGAGCAGCTCTTGTGTACTGCATGTAACATTGAAATTAATACATAATTAAAGATTTGTATAAGATGGTACACCTGAGAGTTGAACAGTAGCAAACTAAATTGAAGATTGCCATTCCAGACATTTGCCACTTTGCCAAGCTTTTCAACCCCGGGAACAGTGAGAAAATTAGCCCTTATCAAGATGTCTTGGTTTCCTACCAGGACCGTTAACCCACACTGGAATTGGTCAACTCATAAAGAAAAGTTAAGCTATGCATATCTGGTTACTAAAACTAAACCTTTAGCAACTCTCCCTCTCAAAACAAACAAACAAAACCCCTGTAATTGTTTTCTGTACTTTTATGCCTTGTAGAGAGTCAAACACATTGTCAACACTTAACAAATGACCAATATAAACTGTGCACGCAGCAAATAACAATGGATCACACAAATGTTTAGAACTAGAGAAGGTGGTCCAAGCAACAAAATTAATCACGTTTGGCTGGATCAGTGCCAGAGTACTGAGTCAAGATATGCTTAAGCGTGTCAGGTTTTGTCCATTTCGAAACAGAGTTGATCAGCAGTTAATGTAATCATTGACTACATTTTAAGCTTGCTTATGATAGTTTTGCATAATAAACATTAATTAGAAATCAGTACTTTCAATGTTTCCATAGGAAGCACAGGTTAACAGTAACTATCAGTTACTCCATTCGATATTTAACTGAGTTTTCAGTTGTCTGCATTCTCTCTCTAGCAGGATAGACAACTTTACATTTACTTCTCCATATTTTCCCCAGCTATGTTTGGCAAACTCAATTACTCATGACTCTCAAGCTGTCCTTTAGGAATTTATTGAGATGCTGTTCACATTTGCTTCCATCTCATGGAAGAATACAAATGAAGTATTTTATTTTAAAAGCAGTGTCACAAGAATTCTTTATAGTTCTCATTGCACTGACTTAAATATATTCGGATGGGGCTATGTCTCCTGGAAATAGAATGAATGTGTGTGTGTGTGTGTATGTGTGTATACACAGAGAAAATATTTAATGTTTATTAACAAAAATACACACTGCCCATATTAAATACCTCAGTGGAAATATCTAGAAAGAACATGTGAAAGTTAAATTGGAACATACAATCGCCACTCTTCCCCCTTCCGTTACGATATAGTGCCAAATTCTACTCTGAGGCCTTGTCTACATACAGAAGCCTGTGTTAATGCAACATTAAGATTGCAAATTTGAATATAAAACTATAGGAAGAACAAAAGTTAAGATTCCAATAGCAAAGTTAACTCTTCTTTATTGCACATACCGTATTTTCAGGGATTTCTAACTGCTCCATAATAGTCCAGACATACTCTGTGATCTCTATTTGTCTGCATCTGCAAGTCATTTAACACTCAGTTAAACTAAAGGAGAAGGATAATACTTTAATTGCAGAAGGCTGAGGTAATATCATTACATGTGCGGGGATATACAAGGTGTAATTTGGATTATGGGTACCAGATGCACAATAGAGATGCTGATATAGGAAAAAAAGCAACTACCATGGTACTGGGATTTAATCAACCACATGTGAATTTTTGAATATGTTATCCTTGCTCTGTGATCAGGATTAGATGATTTGCAAAGCCCTGTGAGGTTACAAAATGATGTAATACTTTTCTTGGCTTGTGCCTCCCATGAAGCCCTTTCAAAATTTAGCTCCGGGTACCTTATATGTGATCATGCTTTGCAGCTGTATTGCACCTTT